TTCACTTGATCGACATTTTGGTTGTGTGACTTCGCTAAATACACATTATTGCCAAAAATGCAGACTAAGTGGGAGAAATATATGCAGCTTTTGTGCCGAAAACTGAATGCTATTTATCTTTAGCCCAAATATATAATGTCGTTAGAGTTATAACTACATCAAAAACTGTTATGAACGGTTTAGAATAAGACTTCTATAAAATCGCAAAATAAATTAATAAGCTGCCTAAATGTAGGCAGTATTTCACTCAAAAGCTTATAACTTTTGGGGTGATGGTATAAATATAATACGTGTGTATATGTTTTTCACGAAAATTTACGAAAATATATTTTATTAAATTTTTAATAAAAAAAGTTAGAATACCTGATTATCTATAAATTCATCTTTTAGCGGCATTTGGCACAAAATTGAAGAAACAATTTATCAATATTAATGGTTTCTTATCAGACACAAAGACTAAACCGAAAGCTTAAATTTCGGTGGTTAAAAAACTAAGCATGAGTTGAGTATAACTTGCTATAAAGTGACTAAGAAAACTGAAACCGAGCACATAGTGGATCAAAGCAAAAATTTAAAGAACAAAAGTCTATACTCAAATTTATTAAGGCAAGAAAAACTACCGGCAAATATTTGTGCTTATTACTGTTGTTTATAAATTAAATTTCTTTGTTTCTTTCAATAATTTCTTAATTGACTCCATTAAACGGTACTTTTCTAGATTTATAGTTTTGTTGGAGAACTTGACTAATATTAAGTTAGTCAAGTTTCGAAGCGACAAAGTTCTCAAAATTTCGAAATTTTGCTGTAAATATAAGCTTTCTAACTTTTTACGTACATTTTTTCATTACCTCAACTTCACTCGCCTCAATCATCTCAAAGTAATCAATAAACTTATCATTGCTTTCCAGTGACTAAACAAATTGCTTAATCGTATGGCAAAGTAAACAATAAGTAATAAACAAATAAAAAATTAATAAAAAAAATTTTTTGTTAGTGAAAATAAAGAAATACAATAAAACTGTCAAACATTTAATGCGAAAAGCAAAAAGTTGCGGGTAAAAGCAAAAAGGCAAAAGGGTGGAAAGTAAGTAAATGTAATGGTCGGACGCAGTGACGGGGCAAATGAGCGCGTGAGTGAGCCCGTGAGTGAGTGAGAGTGATTTACTTTGAATTCCCTGACAAACCAGACGCAGTGACTAAGTCGTTTGCACCGCGATAGTGGCAACAAGTAAAAAAAGTAAGCATTTTTATGATAAATTAACTTTAGCGCGTTACTTGGGCTTGTATTTAAATCAATTTGTTGAGATTGAGGAAATGAAACGTGAGAAAAGTGAAAAATACCGACTAAATATCGTAAATTTGAAGCGTAGATAGTATGTATTATATGTGCTGAAAAACACTTAGTCGTTTTATAATGCGGCACCCTGTTGCTAACGAATTCCACATAAAGAAACGTTGTCTTCTAAGATAGAGCACAAGGTTAAGCACATATGTATGTATGTATGTTAGACCGGCCTATTTCATTTAGCCAACACATTAGCAACTTTTCATAAGTTCTAATGCCCACATACATTTCTATGTTTATAAGCAATCGCTTGTGTGCATTCATAGCACATTTACATAATTCCAATTTGAACATTGGCATAATTAGCACTGAGTAGCACAAAACCTTTTGTTGATGTAATTAGCAGAATTTTTGTACAATTTTCACATTCGTGGATTTAGAAGTTTTAGTGACGTTATATAAAATCTTTAATTTTTGACAAATCATGCAATACAGAATACAAAAAGAATTCTTTCAGCATACAATAATTGGTTGCTATAAACATCAAAAACATATATTTTTTTGTAAAAATAAAATAGATAATGCAGAAAACTAAAATGGCTGGTTTATGCCTTCCTGTAACTTTTATATCACTTGCTAAGTAAGAGCTATAAAATTCATATTTTTATGATCAAAATTATTATAGACTGATATTAATTATAGTAGGCCACACGGAAAATCAAAATTGCTTGTTAATTGCTTTTTCTATAATTTGTATAGTACTTTATTTTGCCAAGAAACAGCCATAAAATTAACTACGATAGCAAAAAAGAAACTATATTGGCAAGCAGATTTAAATTATTCGCAAACTATAAAAGTATATAGTTCCTATAAAAGTTATGACAGTACAAAACTCACACACACATATTTTGCTCGTTTCAGTAGTAAATGTAAAAAACAAAACATTTTATGCATATTCAAATAAAAATAATTCAATACATCGAGGTTCTGAATTTTCTTGGAATTTTGGATGAATATGACATCTTGTACATATTAAAAAGTTTAAGTTTAATTTATTTCCATTGCTTTAAGAAACTAGGTGAAGTATAAATACAAATGCATGTATGTTAGCTTGCGATAATAAAAGAAAAGAAACTTGGAAAAATAGCATTAAATATTAATACAAATTTTTATGAAGTTATGAGTATGTATGTATAGTCTTGCAGCAAGCGTTTTTTTATCCGATTTCTTACTATTAAGTATTAGATCAAATTTTTTGAACTATGTCTACAGCCAGCTGTTGGCATCACTTGCAAATAGTGCATTTATACCAAAAATAAAGCTTGCTATAAAATTATAGAAAGCCTTAATATGTAGTTGCCATAAAATTATGGCACGACTTATTTACATATAAAATTGAGTTATTCGCAATAAATCCGCTTGCTATAAATTTTATAGCATTGTAACTAGCTATAATATTGCATTGGTTTTTTCACAAAGAGTGGAAAAATAATGATAATGTTATTAAGAGTTTCAAGCATTCGAAATATAAACAAACTGCTTTAGCATTTATGCGCTGTACTTCCCCTGTTTTTGTTTATAACAATTTTGTCGGTCAGTTGCCGTTTGTTTCCAGGTTGTTTAAAAGTACATAATTGAAATGTTTATAGGTAATACAGACAATTCCAAACTAACACATTTACGCATTTGTTTATAAAAAGGAACCACACAACCAACCTCACGGTGATCGAATTTCTAAGCAAGAAGCTAATATTTACCACTTAGGTGTATGCCTAAATATACATCTATAAACATACATACATACTTATATCTAGTATAAACAGTAAATTTAATACTTTCCATAATTTTTGAACGCTACAGAAACTGCTTCATAAGACACACACACTTGCATTCATACATGTGTTTAAGCATATGCTTGAAGGGTTTGCCATTGTTTTGTCTTTGTTCTTGTTTTTCGTTTTTGTACTTTTTACACTTCAAATATTTGCCTTATCGGCTGCTCCAAAAACCAAAAAAGTCACACATAAACCACACAAGAAATACACGAAATATTTTGTTGTTTCTGCTTTCGTGTTGTGGACCACGTCACTGAGCGCAAAAGCGAACGAAAACTCGTGAGCCTACGAAATATGCGTGTTTACTTTGTATATATATGCACACATATTGTATGGACAAATACACCGCCGCACATGCTTTAATATTTGCTTGCCAGCTCCAGTTCGGCAAAATGCCGCACAACAACAACGAAAAACCTGAAGAATATGAAAACAAAAGCGAAAAACGCATACGTGAAGCAAGGCAAAAGCCTGCACAGCCAACAGATACGCATTGCGATGCACGTTGTTAATGAATATAAATACATACATACTATACATATGTATATGAATGCCGCCACTGGCTGTTTCCTTACTTCGTTTTTCACACTTCGTGCCGCTGCAAACTGAGTTTTTGCACGCTTCTCCTGCGCGCTTTGCAAATTTACTCCCCATCTTATATTGACTTCTTCGAATTTGCCCCATTTGTCTGGGACGTGTGAGTGATATTTTAGAAGACATACATACATATGTATGTACATATAGTATTTCTGATATGAAGTTTTATATCAGATCGTAAATATTCGCATAGACTTGTTATATAACATGCATACATAGTATGTATACTGAAACAAAGTGAACTACGATTTCTTATGGCGTAAAATTACGTTACAACTTATCTGCGAACCCATCAAAATAAGGATCACCTATATTTAAATGTAAAAAATCGGGTAACCTCCTTGAAAGTCTGACTGCCAACTATCCTAAATTAGTCTAAGTAAATCCTTCAATGGCAATCAGATACGGTATTAACGTGATCATGTGATATATATTATATATAGTATATATTCCACAGCTTCAAAATCACCTTACAAAATTGTGATTTGTATGAATACCGAGATTTAAAAAAAAGCTCTAGTGCAAACGATTTGGATGATTATATAATAATCGAATATCTAAATATACTTAAGGTTATTTTTAATGAACTTAGCTTCTTCTAGCTAGTACTCACAAGTATTAAAATAGTTCCTGAAGTCGACTATAATTTAGATTGAGATTGAATGGTGTCCAAGCACTCTCTCTGTCCTTTGGTGCTACTTTAAACTATAAATTTGCCTATATATGTATGTATGTATCTATAACATTTTGAGCGGAAGAGACATTTTATTATGCATGCTAAGAGAACATTTTTTATGGCAATCGAAAAAAATTTAAGCACTTTAGAAAACATTTGGAGGTTCTTCTAACTGCGAGTTTTAGCAGATCCAAATTACTTACATATGTATTTTTGTTAAAAAATGAAAGGGTGTGGTGGAAAAGTTCAAAAAACTTTGAAAATATCGGTACACTTCAGCTGACATTTTTTACTACATAAAAACCGTTAACTGACCCACACAATTATTGCCATACCTGAATAAAAATTACAATAATTATTTTGTTTAAATAAAATATTTTTGCTTTCATTATGACAAACATGCCGCAGAATCATTCCACACACATGAAACACTCAAAATAATCAAATACTCACAAGCCCACTCAACTCAGGTAGCGAGCTGTTACACTGGCGCAGTCATTCCCAAATACTGCCAGTGTGAGCGTGAGTGACTCTATACTTGAGGCAACATAATGCATATTTAAAATATTTTCTTTTTTAATTACTCGATTCTAAAATTAATTTTTACCTTAATTTCATAGAAAATGAGATGCAAAAATATTTTCTCAGTTATTTGCAGCTGTTGTATTGTTGCTGGGGCTGTTGGGGCTGCTTGTTGGACTTGGTGAAAAAATACTTTTGCAGCTTGTTGCACGAGAAAAAGAGCTCGTCATATGCACAAGGCGAAATCTGTAGATGATGCTTTGTTGTTGTTGTGGTATTTTTGTTGCTGCTTTTTTAGTATTGTTGCGGTTCTTATTTTAATTTCTGTAATATTTTATTGTTGTTGTATTTTATTTTATCGCGGTGACGAACTTGTTCACTTTTCTTGCTTGTTCAGCGCGTTGTAATGCACAGCAATAACAACAAAAAATCGCACTACGCAGTCGTTTGCTTTATATTTACTCACTTGCCGCCTGGTAGTAGTAATAATATGAACTTTCCTGCCTCTTATTACCGTTATTATTTTGTTTACTTTTCTCTTTTATTTCACACACTTTTTGTTGCTGCCGATTTGCTAGCACTGATTGGCTGTGTAAATAATTTATTGTACACAAATATACATATTTATTTATGTATGTATGTGGGTATGTATGTATATTTCTATACTTTTGTTGCACAAGTTGTTCTCTGAATTGTTTTGCTTTGCACTTTTACTTTCATTTGCCACTGTTGCTTGTGTTGTTGGTTGAAAACTAGTTAATATTATGCAATAAAAACCTTGTTTTCGAGATTTTTATGTTTATTATTGTATTTATTTAGCACTGCTGTAAAGAAAAAAAATTGTTGAAAATTATACAAAATTTTGCAGTTATTTTATATAATTTCACTAAAAAATTTCTATTGAAAAGTATTTGTTTAAACAAAAATTAAAATTTTAACATAAAATTATATTTATATTTTGAGGTTAAATTGAGGCACAAATAAACAATATGGAATAAATAAAAATATGTTTGGCTCTGTAATATTTTTCTATTAATATTTGACACTGATTTTTAGTGATTTAAAAAAATCATTTTATTTGCTTAGAATTTCACTTCTTAATTAAGTTGAGGTTAGATTTGATTTTTGTTTAAAATTTCATTTAATTTTTGTTTTTGAATTTGGTGTCGTTTATTTGAAATTACTGTTCGTTAATTAAGTAATAGTAATTTTATATAATAGATGTATATGTAAGAAATTACTTTAAGCAATATTTTATAGAAACTTTATGTTAATTGTATAATAAATAAAATATTATTTTTAGAAACTTTCAATTCGAAATGAACTTCTATTTGTCGTCCTACTGCAAAATATGCAATAAAAATTTTGGACATTGTACTCTTTTTCGAAATAATTTTTTTTAGAATAAAAATCTCAAAAGGTTAGATAGTCAGATTCACGAAAAAATTACAAATTTCAGTATCTTTTTTTTTTGCTATTAAATCGTGTTATTTTACAAAAGTGGTAATAGGGCATTTTTAAAAAATGTATTGGCATGAAGTAACGAAAATTTAAAAAAAATTAACTTCCAAAGTTATAGTCTTTTGTGTTGACCGTGTTCCAAAAAAAGGGTACTGCGGTGACAACCATAAGTCCTTGGAGATTCATCTAAAATCAATCGGACAAAAAAAAATTTGTTTTATAAATAGATAATCCTGGGCCTGATCGAAGGATTTTTGTTTTTCAAAATTAACAAAATGAAGGCCTCAGGAAATTTTTTTCTAAACTTTTGCGAACAAATCAGTAGTTAATTGGTATTAAAAAATCGACATTTTTGAAAAAAATCCTCCGATCAGGACCAAGTTTATTATGTATTCTAAAAGCTGTATAAATTTGTCATCAGTTCAAAACACAGTTTTGAGAAAAACGCGTTTAAAGTTTCACACTAGCGCTTTGAACTGCCCGAGCTCTCTTTGTTATTTGTCGAGTAACTCAAAACTAATTATGGCATCAATGTGAAATTTTCTGAGAATATTTTTAAGACATCACACTTAGCGAAAATGCAAAAAAAAAATATTTTTTTTTTTAATTCTGACTACCCCTAACTTTTTATATTTCTTAATTTATTTT